GCCCTTGGGCCATGCGTATATGCAAGCAAGGTCCTTTGTTGATTGCCTCCCACCACCCACCTTCCCTCTGAGATTCCAGACTCTGTTCATGCTTGAGTCTCTGGATCCACTCCTTTCATCAGTTTGTTACTTAGATCCCACATATAAATGAGTTCATGTGATACTTGTCTTTCTCTGACTGACTTACTTCACCTAGCACAGTGGTTCTCAACCTTCCTAATGCCACGACCCTTTAATAAAGTTCCTCATGTTGTGGTGACCCCCAATTTCATTGTTAGAAATTGAACATAATTAAAGCATAGTGATTAATCACAAAAACAATATGTAATTATATATGTGTTTTCTGATGGTCTTAGGCGACCCCTGTGAAAGGGTCGTTCGACCCCCAAAGGGGTCGAAACCCACAGGTTGAGAACTGCTGACCTAGCATGATACTCTCCTTTGGTGTTGTTTTTCTAAAAATTGATTTCAGGGAGAGAGAGAGAGAGGGAGGGAGGGAGAGAGAGAGAGAGAGAGAGAGAGAGAACTGAGTCACACTGGCCAGGGCAGTATTTGTCTTGTTGTGACAGGCTTATTTTACTTAGCATAATGTGCTTAAGTTTCATCCATGTTTTAGCATGTGCCAGAATTCCTTCCTATTTTAAGAAGGAGAATAAGATAATGATGATAATGAATTCTTTACCCATTTATCTCTCGACAGACAGTGAGGAAGAAGGTCCACTAGTCCCACAGGAATCTGGAAGTCATAGTTAAGACATGTGAGATCTTCAAGCGATTTTCATGATTATTCATTTGTACAGATGGTCTTATTTTACAGAGGAGGAAACGAGGCCTCGGAAAGCAAACTGCTCCAGTTTTACATTTTCTGGCCAAAGATTTTCAGGCCACTCCCCTTGTTTACTGGTTTTCTCAACTTCAGAGCCCAGATCTAGGATAAGTAAGCCAGCACTGCTGGCACCCCAGCTGGGCCCCACAACCAAGTGCTTTTGCTTTGAGAAACAGAGTCTTTTTTTTCCCCCAGCCCTGGACTGACCCCATGACTTCAGACTGAAATGACTCCCATCATCCCCACCAGACAAGGCCTTGTTAGCATTCTGGACCATGTCTGACCTCTTCAGCTACCCTAAGCAGACCTACATCCATCTTCCTATCTCTTTGCCATCTGCAATCCATGCAGCAGTTGCCCTACAACCTAGTTTTGCTAGAGGGCCCCCATTAAAAACATTCTACCCATTTTCCCATCAGCATATTGTAGAAATGCCAACATTTCGGCCTCCAAACTCCATCTCTTTGTTAGCTCCTGAGCACTCATCAGTAGCACCAAAATCCCTTCTCAGACTATATTTTATGAATTTTTCATTCAGAAGGCATGGCCACTTTTCCAATGCTGTGCAGAGTCCCTCTGAGCCCCAAGCTCTTTCACAACTGCCCTACCCCCACCCACACCATGCCCAGACCCAACAGACCCCTGGGGAGGCCCATGTCTAGGGGTTTTAACTAATAGGTTAGTTGTTCCCAAAAAGAATCCAGGATTTCTAACTGATTTTGACATGTTGTAAAAAGAGAAATCTTTCTATCAGCTGAGCCAAACCGGTCAGGAGTAAAAAGAGAAATCTTAACTGAAAGTGACCTAATTTTTTAAAACAAAATTTATTGGGGTAACATTGGTTAATAACATAGAAATGTCAGGTGTACAAGTTTAGAATATGACATCTAATGGTCTAGCCTCCTCCCATCCCCAGGTATTTGATCCCCTTTACCCTCTTCATCCTCCCCTCACCCCCTTTCTGCACTAGTAACCACCATTCTGTTGTTTATGTTGTATCTATGAGTTTTGTTTGTTTATTATGCATTTATTGTTTTTGTTTTATATTCTACATAAGAGTGAAATAATACACTTCTTGTCCTTTTTCTTTTTTTTTTTAAATTTATTTTTGTTTAAAATTTTTATTTTTCTTTTTTTTTATTATTATTCTTTAAAAAAATTTTATGTTGTTATGAGTTTTGTTTGTTTATTATGCATTTATTGTTTTTGTTTTATATTCTACATAAGAGTGAAATAATACACTTCTTGTCGTCCTTCTTTTTTTTTTTAAATTTATTTTTGTTTAAAATTTTTATTTTTCTTTTTTTTTATTATTATTCTTTAAAAAAAATATTATAATAAGTATTACAAAGGGTATTACATATG